CGGTACTGCAGCTCTAGGTTATTCTTTTATCTGATAATTTATTGAAGCGAGACGTCGTGGCTAATTGTTATTTTAGTCAGAAGAAAATGAATAATCTTCGAAAGCATAAAATGAATTTGCAAAACTATCCGAGGTAACTGTCTAGCAAAACAGTACACTGTTTTTAAAACTTTGTGTTATATCATAATTTGTCAATGGATTCAAATCAATGGGTTTTTTAATTAGACATTTAATTTCTCAAAAAGAATACAACTCGCAAATTGTACAGCCAGAAAAAAAAAAGTTTTCGAAAGAAAATAATTTTGAAAATAACATTTCCTTTCGAAAACAATTTTTTTTTAGCTGTACAGTTCGGAGTTGTATTCTTTTTGAGGAATTAAATGTCTAATTAAAAAAACCTATTAATTCGAATCCATTGACAAACTATGGCATAGCACAGAGTTTCAAAAACAGTGCACTGTTATGCAAGACAGTTACCTCGGTTAGTTTTGCAAATTCATTTTATGCTTTTGAACATTGCTCATTTTCTTGCTGATTAAAATAACAATTAGTCACGACGCTTTACTTTGATAAATTACCAGGTGAACAAAAACAGCCTCCAAAAATATGTCCAGAAAAATGGAAACATTTATCACCTTTTGATCCTCACATGACAAATAGCAAATATAGCTTTTCTCCCAATTGCTACATTCCAAACAGTGATTCTCTTCCCATTTCTTCACCAGTAGTTTTAATCGCTCATTTCGTGTGAAGATTTTACCCTTAGGCACGACTTGTAAATGTTGAAACTTACGGTTCAAAAGCTGCAGTACCGGCATCGGCTGAGGTGCTGGAACATCACGTAAGCCTCTATATGTTTCGAATTTTTGCTAACATTTTACGAGTGGCTGGAAATAAAATCAAATGTTAAATTATCAATTTAATTCAAGTATATGCATGTTTAAATGTCTTTGATCGAATGGTAAACCCATATAAATTATATCGATTTCATGCTAATTTTATATTATTTGATTAATTTCACTCATCCGTTTTAGCTACAAGATTTTGATGATGAAAAGTCGCCTATTATCATCAAGGCATTGGCTTCCTCTGTTCCTCTTCAGTAAGGCTTATTCCTGTTTTGTACAGAAACTATAAAGCATAAAAATTTAATTTTGCTACTGAATTTTGCATAACAAATCAAATTTCTATAGCATGATTTCATATAAAGGCCCAAGCCTTTATATGAAATCATGCTATAGAAATTAAACACTTAGCAACATTAATGAGTGTATCAATTTAACAAGATATATAAAGAATAAAATCAGGAAAAGGATAGTAATAATATATATGAAGATTTTGGAGCAATCAGTTTGCTTATTGAAAAGTAATAATTTATTCTATATTTCGAAATGTAAACAAAAGCTTATCAAAAGAAATTAATGAAAGCAATGCATGTCAAATAAAAGAAACCTGATAAATTATTTTCAAAAATTATTTTCATCTTTACAATGCTTCATGAAATTTGTCGGTCATTCAGCTTTGGGTAATTATCCTTATCATTTTTATCAATGAAAAAAAATCGTGCGGAATTTCTACCGTTTAGTATCGCTATTAATGAAAATTAAGTAAATATTTCCTTCAAATCTTCCTTATTTCAGATTTTGCCTTAATTATAAATGATATGAACAAGGAAGGAAAATTTTTAAAAATTAAAAACCGAAAAAAAATCTATTGCTATTTTAATTAATTTGCATAATTAATTTAAAAAAATCCATAGTAATTCAAGCGTTCGATCATTACAATTAGATATTATTATCATTGATAAATATTCACAGCAAAATGAATTTTATTCCATTTCAATTCACAAAAAATCATTTCAGTTATACTTCTTACAATAATTTATGCGCTAAATATGGGCATCTTAAGACAAATTCAAGATCGATATACTTACAAAACATTGCCACAAAAATTATCCTTCTCTAATGCAACGAAAGTTAGTCAGCCAAGTTATTCGAATTAAATCCGGCATTATGTAGAGAAATTTGGACAGCAACAGTTATATCCAAGTATCCGCAAAGTGCTAGCCAAGCAAAGAATTCACATTTGGTTATACAACGGTTCATTGCATTAGTGATAATGATGATAGCCGCTGCTTCCGCACTATGTATGCTGTATCCGTATGATACGTACTAAGTACATAAATAAAATTTATTATTTCATTTGTAGTTCACAGCATCGACGCAAGTGCTATCATCGATATTGCAATT